GCTAAGGACTGACAAGGTCTTACCTTTTAACGTGTGATTCCTAACACTGGTTGCACGATAGCAAGTGAAAATCGATCGTTCAGCCTGCGCTGCGGCTTGAACCATCGGTTCATAAGCATACATAAGCTTTTTCTAATAAAGGCCTTGGTATGAGTTATAAGAAAAAGTATAAGAAAACATAGGGGAAAATCCCCCTCATAGAGTTTCTCTAATATAATGAATTAGCCAAAAATGCGCGATACCTGACAAAAGGATAATTTTTATAGAATCAATCATGTGTGAAATTGTCCACCACCACACTTTCGTAAATTACATTTAATGGCATTACCCATTTCCACAAATATCAAAAAATTTGTGTACATTGAATACTAAAATGTATAAAGATAAGCTAATTAAGCTTCTGGATCCATACCTCATTTATAAAGGTTTTACCCCTGTTCTTTTTAATTTTTGGTGCTCTGATTGCTATTTCTTCATATTCTTGATTTGGAATATGGATTGGTTTGGAAATTAATTTTATTTCAATTATTTCCTTATTGAAATTCCCGCAAAGATTATACCCCCCTGAGTTAGCAATAACATATTTTATCACACAAAGGCGTCTGTAGTTAGTTGTTTTGTTTTCAATTTTGATATTAAATAATTTAAATGAATTTATTTTCGGAAATTTCAATTTTTTCATGAATTTAATATTGAAATCAGCCCTTCTATTGAAAATTGGAATAGTAAAAATAGCATTTACTCTATTAACTTAGCAAAAATTAAGTCCTATAGTTATTTTAAAGNCCTCATTGAAATCCCCGCAAAGATTATACCCCCCTGAATTAGCAATAAAATATTTTATCACACAAAGATTGGCATCTGTAGTTGTTTTGTTTTCAATTTTGATATTAAATAATTCAAATGAATTTATTTTCAGAAATTTCAATTTTTTCATGAATTTAATATTGAATTCAGCACTTCTATTGAAAATTGGAATAGCAAAAATAGCATTTACTCTATTAACTTGGCAAAAATTAAGTCCTATAGTTATTTTAACGTATAATCTTAATTCAATTCATTTTTTTGTTTTTATTTCTGCTATAGTAAGAGGAATTTTAGGATTAAATCAAATTAGATTACGAAAAATTTCAGCTTATTCCTCTATTAATCATATAGCTCGAATATTAGCAAGAATTTTATTTATTAAAAAAATTTGATTTTGGTATTTCTGTACTTACTCTTTAATTTTAATACACATTATTTTTATATATTTGAAATTTTGCTAATTTTTTAACTTTCATTCTAATTACTTTTACATTAATTCCTATGTTCTTATATATTCGCATAACTTCCTCAATGTTAACTTTTTTCATGAATGAA